ACACATTTTTCCAAGAATTATCATATTTTTCTTATAATTTTTTGAGCACATTTCCGGTACGCGCTTTTCTAGCACCAGTTCTCAATATTTGGACTTGAAACTCGTTTTACAAGTCCTACAAATTATTCTAGTAATTATCATGCACTTGTTATAATTTTTCGGGATACTTTTTCGGTACGCATTTATACCGACTAGCAGAACCGGTATCTGCACTTTTCTTCCGAAAAACGACTTTCAGCATTATTACTCACTTACTAATATTATTAAAGCCTCATAATAATTATTAGGGTCAATTATGAAATCATTTTCTATTTTCTCATAATTTATTAATTAAATTCCTTAATTAACGGTGCAGGTTCTTACACTCCTTGTGCCTTCCTTTCTGATATTATTGTCTTCCCTACTTGTCACCTCCATTCTTCTTCCAAAACTCCTCGAAATGATCAACTTTCTTCTAGTTTTCTTCATCAAAACCTCATGGTTGAGTGTAGGGGAGACTTGGGTGGGAGTGTGACCCTTGTTTGCTGAGTGAGGTTACTGTTTGTTGGAGTTTGTAGGCTGACTTCTTGGTGTGAGTTGTGAGAGTCATTGTGATGGCATTTTGAGCTTCAAGAAGCTACCATTGTTGATAAAGGACCAAGCTTGCAAGGTAAATTCGTGGCCTTGTGAAGTCAGTGTTGTGTGACTAATTGGTGAGCTCCAAGAGCACCCCTGTTCTGAATTTGAGCCTTTGGGTAAGCTTCATCACCTTTGTTCTTGAATTTTCTTTGGAAAGAATGAACCTTGATACATGTAACAAGTGAAACTTGATAACTTAAGTGTTGGTATGGTGAAACACACTTAAAAGTGCATGATTGAACGTCTGGAAACCTTAAAAATGGGACCTTGGTTGGATATCTTCACGAAAATGCAAAACTGCATGCTATCGCGAAATATCCGGATATTGATATCCGGATATGGGGTCTTGGATATTCGGATATGGCCTCGACAAATATCCGGATATTCTGGGAATTTCGAGATGGTCATGGTTCTGTTCATACAGAATGGGATTTTGGTTTGTGAACCCATGATTGGTTAAGTTGAATCTATGTAATAATTAATCTAAGTCAGAATCAATGGGATTAAGGGCTTAAGGCTTTGGGATAAGCCTAATGGCATGAAACGATAAAGAGAATGTTGTCATTATGTCATGAACTCTTAGATTATAAATATTGATATGGTTGCTGGTCTAAACAGATTGTGATTGTGCTGTTTGTGGACCTTGAGCTAGTGTGGACTTTGGCTTGGATTTATTGCTTAGAGGTAAGCTTCTGGTCCTCGGATTGATCTGTTGCTTGTTCCACCGACCTCCATTGAAGGGTGGTTTATATGCGTGTATGCTTTTATGAAAGATGAATGCATTGATATATGCCCGAGATACGTTAATTTAACTGTTGATGTAATGTGTGAATGTGATATTGATTACTTACATGATCAGGCTGTGACCCTGGTGTGTAAGGCATAAGGCTGCGACCCTTATGTTTAGATAGGTCGCAGACGTGCATAAACCCTATCATGTTCCCTGGCCAGTCAAACCGCATTTGCATACATCACATGATTAATGAGTTGTAGTACTTGGCTTGTTGAGCAAGAAATATATTGTCATGATTTAAATGCCTTAACATGAACATGCATGGTAAATACTGTTTTTGAACTTATATTTATACTTGTAAGTGAGCTTGGGGCGGAAGAGTCCTAGAAGACCCATTGTCTTACTGAGATTTCATTTTAGAGATCTCATCCCACGTTTGGGGCACATTTTCAGGTTCAGGTACTTTGGGTCAAAAGCTGTTGGGTGAAAAATATATTATGATGGAGAACGTTCTAGTTCAGTAAGAGAAAACACTTGTGTTCTCTTACTTTCAAGCTAAGTGCGCAATTGCACGCATCAAGTAATAAAGGGACTATTAGTGCCCAGATTATCGTTCCCACGAGGATAGAACTCTAATTAATGCCTTAAACTATTTTATAAAGAATGAAAATGAAAAGAAAAGTTAGTAATCGACCTGTTTGGTCAAACGTTCCCTACTGTCTTAACAGCGTTCCTCAAGAATAGTAGGTTCAATCTGGGAGCAAATAGTTAATCGCTTTGTTATGTATGATACCCTTTTTGTTGAGAGAAGGAAAAGCAATATTCATAGGAGATTGATAGATACAAGATTGAATAAATAAAAGAACAATAACAATAGTAATAACAGTAATTAAGAGACAACAGTATGGATGGTGTGAAACAGTTTTAACAGAAGGAACGGATCCACTGTTCCATTATTAAATAGTTATTTTCTCTACTCAAGACTTAACACTTTTGTCTTTGTTCCAGTCTCATCAGTGCCAACGTTTGATTCCTCAGCTTATGGACTAAATGGCTCACAAGTTTCCATATTCCTAAGGCTCCCTTGACTCCAATAGTTACTTAGCACAGAACCTTAAAATGAACGAGGTGGTCCCTTATTCCTAAGGCAACTAGCAGTTGTTTCCACAACACTACCTTACCCCTCTGGTTAAGTTGTCTAAAATGTTAGTATTTGGGTGTCCTAGAGACAATCTTATGATTAAATAAGGACAGAGATGTAGACCTTTTTAATATTGTTGCAAATAAATAAAAGCACTCTTTATCTTGTCTCATAATTCTGTCTCGATATTAATGTTAATATATTATGAATAACTTGATAAACCCCGTGGAATAAAATAGGTATCTCTTGAGTATCTGTGATGAGATCACAATCATGAGGATTCAAGAATACCGAATGTTTATTCCTAATTTTATGTTCCTAGTCTAGAGATACTAAGAATGAGGTCAGTAATCTCGGGTAAGACTAGTACGACTTATCTACTTGTATATGGATACAAGGTATAGACCTCATGTGCTACAGATATGGAGATGTCTTAGCTAAAGTCGTGGGTGGACCTATAAGGGTATAGCTCGCACTGAACGGACCCACAAAGAGACTCTATGAGGAAATCTCACAGATAGTATCAATAGAGTAGTCTCTTCATATTGGGTATGTCTTTCCTTAAACCAAAAGTTATCACTTAGACTGTGTTCTAGAAGGCATGCTTTGACTGTATACCTCGTCTGCCTGAAACATGGAGACTCCTAGGTATGCTCTTGGGCTTGTCCTGATAGGGCACAGGGCTAGGGTGATAAGCTGAAGGGATTCGTCAAATCTCTGTGAGAGATTAGGTTATCCTTAAACCGGAGAAATCAGGATGACATATACAGTGAATCGGGAATCTATGCATAGTAAAAGAGATCATAAGATGATCCGCCTTTAGAGTCAGTAAATTGAAGACTCCTTATTTCATATAAAGCTAACCCTAAACCGCAAGAGTTGATGCGTTTCCTTACCCTAGGTTTTATGGGAAGGTAACCGAGACGAAGGGACAAACATACGGCAACCAAATATGTTTAATAGGATGATCAAATCATTAATCTAACTAGTTCTGGGACAACAAAGCATTGCTAGTGCTCTGTGTTGTCATTAGATGGGTTGTAGGCTTTGTAACACTCCGTGTATACCCGGAATATTAACATTACATCGTATTAAGCGGTGCTTAATTAAAAAATTGCGGAATATTCTTTTTCTTTTCAATTATGACGTCATTAACAATTACCAACTTGATTACTTAATCAATTTCATAAAATATCGTCTGTATGTCAATTGCAATAAGACACCTACTGAAATACCTCAATATATAGATAAAGTGTGTATCTAAATCACGACATTACATCAAGTAATCCGGACAATATCCTGATACATTATTACAACTCCAAAAGACTCAAGACATAATAATACTATGTGTCATGGACAATCCCCATGCTCACCAAATAGACATAGTAAACAACAATCTCATCATAAAACTCTAAAATTATAACTGAAGCTATAAGCATATAAACAGCATGCAAATCCAGCATCCAATCATGGCAGCATAAAATAACAGCACTCTAACTCAGCTCCGGCCTCCTGCCGCCTGAGGTCTCAACATAACCTGATCCTCAAATAAGCATTCCCCAAACGTGGGGTGAGATCTCTAAACTAGAAATCTCAGTAAGACAAGGGGTCCTCAAGGATCTTCCACCCCAAGCTCACTTACATGTGCAATATAAGTTCAAAAGCATTTATATCATTATCAGTTCCAAAAACTATGTAGTGCAACAGATATCTATGGCATGTGTGTAATTACTATCTACTGGCCAGAGAAATGTAGGAATACGTCTATTCCCTACATGTAGTACAAGGAACACCGCTTGCACCTCACTCACGGCTAGGGGTGTTAACGGGCCGAGCCGAGCAGAGCCGAGCTTTGGTCTTAACGGACCAAGCCTGTATTTAAACGTGTCAGACTGGCCTTAGCCTGTTACCTGTTACGAATATAATATTGGCCTGTGGCCTGGTTTATTTTCAAAAAATAAAAGCCTGTGTTAAGTCTGTCTTAGCCTGTTAACAAATAAAAAAAAGAGAAGAAAATTTCACAAAATTTCATAAATTCAATGTATATCCAAATAGAATATACAATCAGCAGCAATAATAATTCCACAAAGACTCATAAATTCAATGTATATCCAAACAACATAATATAAAACAAAATCATTCAAAAAGTCTACTTAACCAATAAACTAAAGTAGTACCAAATTCTGCATATCCAAAAGAACAAAAAACTACAAATTCTGAGTAAACAATTTAATATACTTATATCAACAATTTAACATATTGCGATGTTGCCTCCTCCTACATAAAAAACAAAAAACAAGTCAGATTATTTTTGACATTCAATTATAATATCATAAGATATAAGACAATTTAAATTAAGCAAATTAATACCTTCTGCTTTTTCTTTATGCCATACTTATTACGTAACCAATCTGCACCGCAAATTAATGCTTGAACTGTATTTTCTGTCAAACTTGCCCGATAAGCATCAATGACTCTTCCTCCAGCACTAAATGTTGATTCAGATGCAACTGACGAGACTGGTATTGCTAATATATCTTTTGTCATCTTTGATAAAATCTTATACTTCATACTATTGTTCTTCCACCATTCCAAGGCATCAAATGAAAGATGAGAATTATCCTCACTTATATAAACACTCTTCAAGATAACACTTCAGCTCTGACTTAACTGAATGAGTAGATTCCCTTGCACGTATCATGCTCATGAGTTGAGCAAACCCAGATTCAGAATCTTGTGAAACTTCAGTTGAGGGAGTAGAAGAGGAAGATCCTTCCACCCTAGTTCTGACATCTAAATTAGAGCAAGATTCTTGCAAATAATCATTGTAAAGGTCTTCTAAAGCTTGACGCACCTTTTCTATGTTAACGTTGGCATCAAATTCTGATTTGTAAATAAGTGGAAAACAAAGGCTCACCATTTCTAATTTACACCTTGGGTCCAAAACACTAGCAATGGCCATTAACAAATTGCATTCCCCCCAATATTTATCAAATTTCACTTTCATAAACCTTGCCATTCCTCTCATAAAATCAGAACTATCTTCAGCTGCTTTATCAATCACTACTTTGACCATATAAACTTCCGGAAGATATAAGTTTGTTGTAGGATAATCACTACCTCATATGATATTAGTAGCATGAGAGAAAACTTTTAATAAATGGCATACCTTATCAACATTTTCCCACTCTTCAGTAGATGGCAAACAATTGTAGTGTGGGTCTCTTTCCTTGTATTCTGGAAAAACTTCTTTAAATCTTGAAGCAATATCCAACATTTCATAGGTAGAATTCCATCTAGTGGGACAATCAATCACTAGCTTTCTTTCTTTTATACCCATTTGCTTAACAATGTCAGAGAAAGTCTTTAATCTTGAGTCAGAATGATTAACATATTTCACACTTTCTCTAACATTCTCAATGATGTCTTCAATCTGAGTAAGACCGTGTTGCACCAACAAATTCAATATATGTGCACAACAACGCACATGAAATAATTCCCCACCAAGAACTAATTTAGTATTTCTTGACAAAGTTCTTTTCATAGTTCTTATACATACGTCATTGTAGGCAGCGTTGTCCACAGATACAGAAAATACCTTATTTTCGATTCCCCATAATTGTGGACATTTAAGAATTGCATCTGCAACATCGACTCCACGCCTTGGAGGTGGCACTTTCACAAAACTCAAAACTCTCTTTTGTAATTTCCAGTCTGCATCAATGAAATGGCCAGTAATCACCATGTATTCAGCTTTTTGGTGGTCAGACTTCCACATATCAGTGGTGATGCTAATCTTGTTCACACTCTTCAATTGAGCCTTTAGTAATTTTTTTTCAGCCTCATATAATCCAATGCAATCATTTTTTGTTGTATGACGTGACACTTTCTCAAAATCAGGATTTGCACACTGAAACACCCACCTCCAAGCAGTATCCTCAACAAAGCTAAAAGGATTCTCATGAACCATAATAGCAGTAGCAATAGCTTCTCTCATTTTTTCATTGGAACACTTTCCTGTAGGTGAAAGGACAGGGTTCACTGCAGAACCTGAAGGCTGAAACGAAAGAGTGGTTTGAGTGCTTTCCTTCTTTCCGGATTGGGCCAATTTTTTTTTCAAGCAACTTGTTAAATGCCTCTTTAGATGGCTTGTGCTTGCTCCTGGTCCACCACGTGCAAATTTGGCTTTACAATGGTTGCATACTGCCTTGGGCCCAACATTGGGGATGTCCACCTCATGAAAATCATCCCACACCTTTGATGTTTTATGCCTTTTATTTGTGGTGTTTGCATCTACATCTTGTGTTGTGGTTCTTGTCCTTGAACATCAACATTATTAACTGTTTGTGCTACAAAACATAGCAATAAAAAAAATATGATCAGTAATTTATTGGTTGCTACATTTATCATTAAAATAAAAAATAAAAAAAAAGCAATCCGAAGCTACAAAACTCCACTGCATACAAGGGTGTCTAGCTTGTTATATGTATACATTCACACGCATAAGCTTTCTTGAAATGAACTAAATAATAATGATCAATACATGGAAACCATTCATTATATAATAAATATAATATAATATTTCACATAACTTAACCTCTTTGTTTAGAAAGTTCAAGGACAAGAGTATTATCAAGTTAAAAAGTTTACGCATGTGGTTCCAAATAATATAATATAATAGTTCACATAACAGAACTTAACCAAATAATATAATATAATACACGAAAAAATTTAGAAAGTTCACAATGGACTATAATCAAGTTAAAAAGTACCCGATGCCATGAAGTGTTTAATATCCCTCCGAGGTTCCAAATGTCTTCAACCTTTTCAGGTTTAAAATTTGCAGCTGAATCTACCTGCAAATTAGCCAAAGGGTATTAATAAACAGATGTTAAAAAAGATTCCCAACTCAATTAGAGAGGTGATCTCTCTGAACTATAATGCAAATGAACCCACTTGTAGATGAATTGTTTATTTAATGTGAAATATAAGTGGAGTTAAAGGTAATAAATTTTGAATAAGAGCAACAAATCATGCATTTTGGCTTCTCTAACAAATCATGCAGTGTTTCTATAAGTTCCAAAGTTCACAGGGATTCAGTTCATGCATCTCGCTCTCCTACGCACTATTTTCCCTAAATAATGACCCAACAAGCCAACTCATTTTGACCAACTGGCTCTAAGTAAAAAGACAATCAACCTTTTGCTATGATGTCTCCGGCTATTCATACGCAAGAGAGGAGGATACCTTGGCATATATATCATTGATTTTAATGGGTGTCGGTCTCGGTGGTTAATAGTGACAGAGAAGGGATGGTCGACGACTCGACAACGTGGTCTCTTAATTTGACATTAATGCATCTTGACATTAATCCAATGAGTCAATTATTTAATTAACTAACCTAACCAAGAAACTCCAGAACTGATATGAACGATGATACCTAGAAGGGACGCTGCGATGGAGGGCTAGAAAACAATAGAAATAAAAAGCCTAATAACGAATGCAAAATCAAATTAACAATGGTGAGAGAGTGAAGTCTAAGAAGGTCAGGAGGAGTAATCAGAATATTCAGAACTTAGAGTAAGCTATACCTTGAAGGAAGTCTAAGAAGGTCACAACAGTTCTCTGCCTCCTTCCTCACAAGCCAGCGGGAAGGAAGTCCCACCAAGAGTTTCCGGCGTGGCTTTGCAGATCTGCGTTTGTTGGGGATCGATTTGGGAGAACTTGGTTGAGGAATGAGGAGAGAGAGAACAGAGGCCAAAGAGGAAAGTTGAAATAGAGGGAGTGAGGGACGTTGTGTTGTGTCGTTGTTTGTTGTCACGTTGAAATGATTCATAAAAAAAATTAGTGGAACGACGGGCCAGCCTGTCAGGCCCAAAGGCCGGGCTTCTCCATGGAGGCTTGAGGCCTCTTAAATAAAAAGGCTTTTATGTTAGTTCAAGTTTGAGCCCAATAATGAAATAAGACGGGCCGGGCCAGGCCTAAACAGGCTGGGCCTAAGGCCCCTGACGGGCCCCTGGCCTTTTTATCAGCCCTGCCCACAGCCTGACCCTCTTGTATGTTCTACATACTCAGGCTTACCGTATAGGTGGAACACCTCCATGCATATCAACAAGGCACTAACATACAATAGCTCAACAGCATTTCCAAAACATCAAAGCATGTAATACAATATGCATATAACCATACCCCCATGGGACATGGTGGAACCACAACATGGCTAAACCGAGGACACGAAAGCTTACCTCTAAGCTAGCTATCCAATGCCACTAGCTCAAAGTCCAATCACAGCAGATCACAATCTGATATGGACCAAACATAAATCAATAACATGTACCACATGCATACAAATTAAAGGCAACGCCTTTTCATTACGTTTTCAAGTCTTAAAGCTTCTAACAAAGCCACAAGCCCTTAATCCCATGATTCTGACTTAATCCATTAAATACAGAAGTTCAACTTCATCAAATTAGGATCCACAAACCCCCAATAGCCTACTGTACACACATCACAGCTGCTGTTCTGCGAAATCCCAGAATATCCGGATATCTCACTGTCCATATCCGGATATGCAATATCCGGATATACAGATTCACATATCCGGATATCCCAAAGCCACGTATCCGGATATCCAATATCCGGATATCAGTTCGACAAATATCCGGATATCTCACGACAGAATGCAGTTTCTGCATTTTCGTGAAGATATCCCTAAAAGGTTCCCTTTTTACCGATTTTATACACCTAATCATGCATTTCTAGGTGTGTTCAACATTACCCAACAACAAGTTATCATCTTTTAGTCATTAGATGCATCAAGGTACCATTTTTAAGCCTTAAAACTCAAGTTAAAGGTTGGTACACATACCACAGCTCAAAAACAGCAAAGGGAGATGCTCTTGGAGCTCACAATCAGTCTCAAGCTACTGTCACAAGAGGATGCACGAAAATGAACACAAGATGACTCTTTTACTCAACAAGAAGACACCTTGAAGCATCAAAATGCCAACAAAAGGTCACACCCCTCAAGAACAGCAAACACAGCTCTTCAAACTCCCTCACACAGGTTCTCTAACTCAGAAACACCACCCCAATGTAGTCCCAAGGCCAACCCTCACCCTCACCAAGTGTTTAAATGGAAGAACAAGCATCAAAGGTGAATGCTTGCTCAAGAAATGGTGAAGAAGGCAAGGAAGGAGTATTTTCTTGTCAGCCTCCAAGTTACTCACGAATAGAAATCTGATCCTAGGGTTTTGTGCCCGTAAGGAGAGTATTTATAGCCCAAACACACTTAAACACACAGTATTAACTTTAATTGCTACGCTTAGCATTTTAATCCCAAACTTTGGATTCTGAAACTACATAATTTTCTAAGATTTATCATATTTTTCTTATAATTTTATGAGCAACTTTCTGGTACGCGCTTTTCAAAGCCAGTACCGGTTTCTAGCACCAGTTCTCATTATTTGGACTTGAAACTCGTTTTACAAGTCCTACATATTATTCTAGTAATTATCATGCACTTACATTAATTTTTCGGGATACTTTTTTGGCACGGATTTATACTGACTAGCAGAACCGGTATCTGCACTTTTCTTCCGAAAAGCGACTTTCAGCATTCTTAATCACTTATTATGATTATTAAGCCTCATAAATAATTATTAGGGTCAATTATGGAATCATTTCCTATTTTCTCATAATTAATTAATTAAATACCTTAATTAACGGTGCAGGTTCTTACATTCACCCCACCTTTTTAGGATTTTGACCTCAAAATCAGAAAACATACCTGTCCCGAAGTGCGGGATACCGCCAGAGAAACTCATCCTCTCGCTTCCGGAATTACCCTTCAGGAATTATCCTCGTTCAACGTGCTCTGACCATCGAAAAGATCTTGCTCCTCAGCTGCTTCTCGCCACGATCGAGAATCTCTAGTGGTCCGACGGGAGTTTTCAAGTTCTCCCGAACCTCGACAACATCTGGTTGCACCACGTGCGACGGATCTGCTATGTACTTCCGAAGCTGAGACACGTGAAACACGTCGTGGATGTTAGCCAGGTTTGGAGGCAAGGCAAGTCGGTAGGCAACAGGTCCTACTCTACCAAGAATCTGTTATGGCCCAATATATCGCGGGCTCAGCTTCCTCACTCCGAGTGCCCGACCTACACCGGTGACAGGTGAAAGTCTCACAAACACGTGCTCACCCTCACTGAACTCTAGTGAATGATGCTCAACATTAACGTAGTTCTCCTGACGACTCAGTGCCTACATCAGCTTTCCTCTGATCATCTGTCCCGACAGATGGTAAATCGGACAAGGTCCAATCCAAACAACTCTTTTTACCTCCAATCTCAGACCAACAGGTAGGAGTTCTACACCTCCTACCAAACAGTGCCTCGTAGGGTCCCATGCCCAGGCTAGCAAGGAACACACAATCACCAAAACTCTACCAATGACAGGTACCTATCCCATGCAGGGCCCTGCTCCAAGGTGCACGCCCTCGACATGTCCTCCAAGACCTGAAGGGTCCGCTCAGTCTGTCCCACAGTCTGAGGGTGATAGGCCGTACTCAGTCTCAACTGAGTTCCAAAAGCTCCCTGCAGCGCCTCCCAGAACCGAGATGTGAACTTCGGGTCCCTATCACTAATGATACTCTCGGGCACCCCGAGAAGCCTCACGATCTCGCGAACATAAAGCTTGGCCAACTGCTCTGACGAGAAGCTCACCTTTACCGGAAGAAAGTGGGCAGACTCTGACAATCTGTCCACAATGACCCAAAAGAGTCATTAACAGTCTGGATCTTAGGCCAACCCATCACGAAGTTCATGGAAATACCTTCCTACTTCCACTGCAGTACCTCAAGAGGTTGAAGTTCACCAGACGGCTTCTGGTGTTCAATCTTCACTTTTTGACAAATCAAACACTTGGACACATACACAACTATGTCCTTCTTCATTCCTGGCCACCAGAAATTCCTTTTCAGGTCTTGAAACATCTTAGTAGCACCAGGTGAACAGTAAACTGTCCCTTATGGCCCTCTGCCATAACCTCTTCGGTCAACGGACCTCGAGGAATCACAATCCGCTTTTGAAACAACAGAAGTCCATCCCCAATCCAAGACACACCGTCTTGGTTTTCCACGTAATCGAGACACTCTCTCTGCATATGCGCCTCGTGGATCTTCTCCATAAGCTCGATCCTGACTCTTACAGTCTCAATCTCGAGAAGTGCATCCTCAACAAAGAGGTCACCGTCAGAACTCAAAGTTTCACAATGACGTCACAGCGTCATCCGATTCTCTGGGATCATCAGTTATTCCCTCAATAGAGCTGACCTACCCCACAACTCTAAACCACACGACACTCAAGTGAGTTGGGTCTTATTCCATGACTCTAACCTCAACAAGACTAGCAATTATGATCAATATCCTCAGAATAACTTCATATTCTGTTCAAAGTGCTAAATCATATTCATGTTTAATTCCCCCCATACATGTTAGTTAACCAATTCAATTACATAGTAACGTACCTTAGTTCACGTACACCTGCAAAATTTCAATTTCAACAACATAATAGCTAAAAACTCTATATAACGGTATACCTCACTCTCCATGGTATCTGCAAAATTGAGAGTTAGTCAAAGGTGAAATAACATTGATTTATTATCACAGTTCATGGTACTCATTTCATGCTTAACACTACCCCTGGTGTTAACATGCCAACTACTTACGAAGCATAACAAACTCAACATAAAATCCTAGAGTCATGGAGACCACTCAACTCACAAGCTACTTGTACATGCACTGCCCCGCATATACAAGATCATACGTGGCCTTGCCACCAATTCTAAGTGTTACACACTCAGTTTCCCTGAAGAGAATTTCACATCCTCCAACAGAGCACCATCACGTTTAAGTAATGGCGTAAGGCCTCTTGCCTTACAACAAAAATGACCGATGCTCCCAAGGAGACACGTTCAGTCGAAGAAGTCTTTCGCTGAAAGATCCTCAATATGCTTCTTCAGCTCTGCCAACTCCGGTGGCGACATCCGGTATGGAGCTAAAGAAATCGGCCCCACACCAAGCAACAGATCTATGGAGAACTCTATCTCCCTCTGTGGCGGAAACTCAGGAATCTCCTCCAGAAACACCTCGAGGAATTCCCTCACCACAGGAATGCCAGTGAGATCCTCCTGTGTCCCACTCACCAAACCTCCCAACAAGACATATCCGAATGCCCCTGCTCGCCAAGCTCTCTTGTCCTGCAGCAATAAAAGGCGAGGAACTGGCTGTGCAATCACACGGAGACATCACCACTCCCTAGGCACAACAAACAATCAATCAATCATCTATTGGACAATCCATCCACACCAAGGATGATTTCCAAAATAGCCATCGGCAACCCTATTAGATCTACCGAGAAGTCACAGCCCTCCCACTGAAACACGACATCTCGATGTACAGTGGTAGCATCACATATTTCTCCGGCGGCGGTAGTCACCCGCAACGGTGGAGAAAGCACAGACATGGGCAACTCAAGCCCCAAAGCAATCGGGGTAGCAACAAACGAATGCGTAGCCCCGGAGTCAAACAATGCATCAACAGCAACACCACCAATAGACACAGTACCTCTAACAAGGTTCGGAGCGCGGTCCGACTGCTGGCTATCCAAGGTGTACACACGCCCAACAGGAGGTGGCACCACAGGTGCCGAAGTAGAAGCCATCGAAACCATCTGCAAAGGAACCGCCTGAACAGCTGCAGCTTTCGCCGTCGACGACA